GAAGTGTATTTTGCTTGACACATTGAAATGCCTTTCACGTGAGTCAGCTGCACTCGTTGAAGAACTGCAGCGTTACACGCGTGAGAAATTGAAACTACTAATTGCACCTGCGTGCGATGGTTGTGACAACTTTTGTTGCTGTGGCAGTTGGTGATGTGTATTTGATACTAGGTTGCCTGAACCCTTATTGATCAAACGTTCCCATAGACGGTATTTTAGTTGGTTAGCTTGCACTTTGGCGTCTTTTGTATCCTTTCCTACCGTATAGCGCCGAGGTTGTGGGATAGAGGACCAGATTGCTCGTTATCCAATGTAGTGGCTTGCGCACTAGCCGATAGGTTGAGCAATCTGTTAGTATCATTTCCTGGTCGGAGGAGGCGGAATCGGGTACATTGATAGCAGGACTATGCTTAAGTGTGTCGGCTGGCTGTCACTAGGTGAACTTGCGTTGCCGGTGCCGACAGCGTTGGGAGTAAATGGGAAATTCCTGTGGTAATGTTGTAAAATGGATTATCATCCATACTTTAATTGCACCTGCATGTGACGGTTGTTGCAATTCTGATCCCCATGTTAGGTCGTGATGTGTATTTGATTCTGGTGTGGCTGAACTCGTAGACTGTGTTTAAGTTTGTTGGTTGGCTGTCTGATACTTGTTTTTTTTTCTAGTGTTTGACGGTCGGATCCTCTTTGTTTTCGTAGGGGATGTAACAACGCGTCCCGAATGTCCCTGTTAGAAGTACGTCATTCTGAATGTATGTGCAATGTCAGGTGTGTGCTGCATGATCTCGGAACGAAATAAGTTCATGGTTTCTGTGGCGGTGCGATACTGTCAGCACATGTTCCGTCAGTGTTAGCGGAAAAAGCCTGAGGAAGCATTGGCTTCAAAAGAGTGAATGAGACTGGTGGTGTCCTAGTAGGTTCCAACTTTTGGAGATCATTCAGTCGAGCCAGCTGGCTTGCGGACTGGTTGATGCAAATTTTAATTCTTATCTAGTTGCTGGGATGCTCTGGGTCTTTTGGGCCCTTAGCACATTATTAGAGTAGTTCGTGGCCGTTTATTTTATAGGTTTGGTCTTTGGCCTGCTCCTATACGAGATGGGCCGAGTATCTGCTCTGGCCTGCACAGTATCGCCTCAACTCATAGTGGGTTTTTCCGCTGGTAATGCGTTCGAATGCAAAACTTAAATTGAAGGTAATTACATGTTTCCACTGGCCTATTTCGCAATCCTTACCGGGCAGTGTTGGTTGCAGTTCAGCGTTTCTCTCCTACAATTTTACGGCACACTGAACTAAAATTACAGCTGTTATTACTTTTGGGGAAATTTGCAGAGCCCAGTACCGTGTTCGAGTTATGCCAAAGTTATATAGAAATGGAGGAAAGCCCTGCCAACACATGGCCGAGCCTAGGCGATCTTTCATGCTGTGAACGAGCCTTAATCAAGCACTGCTATTGACGGAGATTAGTCATAGGTTTTTTAATTTTAATACTTTTTGCACGGGGATGAACTTTTCATTGCTTAACTAAATAGTCTTAGCGGCCAGCAGATTTGTTTAAGATATTCCCTTCTCCCAGCTGGTATGCTTTTTTGTAGTGGAAATGGCGCAGCTGTTGGCAAAGTCAATTGGGCTCGGTGGCAGTACGTAGAGTTACCTTTGGCCCGATCCCATTTAGTAATCTGTCTCAAGGCAGCTCTTGAACGGGGAGCTCGGTCACCTATTCCCAATCCCATACATTCTGGAGCAAATGCATAGCGATGAAGGGACTGGAAAAACGAGGCTCTTCACGCCATTAAACCGGCCTGTGTTTAAAGGCAGTGGCCACATATAGCCTATATAAAGAGAGGTTATGTAATCCCTCAACTTTTAATACACATAGCTGACGTCTCTGTGTTTTAGAAGGCCTGGTTTAGTTTATTATTTCGTAGTAACGGAAAGTAACCCTTTGCGCGCTAATTTCTACATTCCTATATCGGCATACACACGGGCGTTTTATTGTAACGTATGATATACAAAAAATGTATTTGCTCAGCTGCCTTTTGTTTTTTTTTAAAATAACACTCATTAAATTGGGCGGAATCCTTTGTAATGATTCTTTGCGCACATTTCGTTGGCTGTCCATGGCGAGGCCCATCCGTTAAACCTTTATTACCATCAGTCCTGGGGCTAGCTTTGGCTCAACGGGGCTTACATAACCTACTGTTGCCGAAATTTTTAGCAAGCACTTAATTTGGAAGGCCCATTTCCCGTCGAAGCTACCTTTGAAGGTCCCATATTAGCGGACGGAGCCTTAATTCTACACTTCTAGCGCCCACATCCAAAAGTGACACAGAGAACTTG